AAACAGAAAAAATCATTCTAATGAATAAAGTTTAGCTAATGAATAAAGAGTTAAAATAAGTAGCTAAAAGTAGCCTAATGAATAAACAGTTGAGATGGCTAAAAGTGATGGATGAATGTTTAGAATAGTTTGCTAAACATACTAAATAAACAGTTAAAATAGTTAAGTTAGCTAAAACTCATTAGATAGCTATCAGTAAAATTGACAGTTTAGCTAAGATAATGAATGAATGTTTTGATTGATTGATTGTCTTTGTTTCGAACATGTAAACAGTGGAAACAAAACAAAAACAAAAAATAACAGGTAGACAAGTAAAGGAATACTAAATTAAAAAAAGGCAAGCAGACGGACAGACAACAATAACAAAAACTAAAAAGACAAAAGGATGAGAAATTGATCCTCCACACGTTTCACATGCTCGAAAGGGGGTAGGAGAAAGTGTAAACTTATCTAGTCCTACCCCTTAACTCATATAATAATAATAATAATAATAATAATTCATAAATAATTCATAAATGTGTAGAAATATGCTTAACTACCAATACAATGTACATACACATATACACACATATATGTACATATATACACATGCACATACATATACACACACATATACACACACACACACACACACACACACACACACACACACACATATTTACAGTTACTGAGGCTCTTCCAGATTCCTGTATCTTGCAAATATAATGTCCTTGTATTTTTTTTAAACTGTCTTATATTTTGGCTTTTCTGTACTTCCACACTTAACCTATTCCACAGTTTAACTCCATAAACAGAGATACAGAAGCTCTTTTTTGTTGTGTGGGTGCGGCAGACCTTTAAGTTTAATTGTCCCCTTAACTTATAACTCCCCTCCCTTTCAGAAAACATTTCCTCTATGTTTTTAGGTAACATATTATTCCTTGCTTTGAACATTGTTTGTGCAGTTTTGAATTCTATCAGATCCAAAAATGTTTGAAGATAATGTTAGCTAAAAGTACTGGATAAACAGATAAAATAATTCTAATGAATAAAGTTTAGCTAATAAATAAAGAGTTAAAATAAGTAGCTAAAAGTGACATAATGGATAAACAGTTGGAATACCTAAAAGTGATGGATGAATAGTGGTAGTGTACTATGAATAAAAAAATGACCACATGACTTAATCAATTGTATAGAAAAAAAAAACATTGTTATATATGTTTTAGTTACATTTTATATATTTTAATTGAAATGTACACATTTGGTGATGGGTTGTCGGATGTCACAAAAGACAATGTTGCTGTTATTAGAGTTTCCTGAACTTCCCAGTACGGTCACTGAGACTGCCAGTGAGGGGACACGTAACGTTAGTCTTTTTCTGGCGACAGTGGGAAAACTCAGCCTGTGAGTAAATGCCAGAGCACAAGGCTATGACCGAGCATCTTCTTCTCATCAGCCTCGCTAAATAAACACATACTTGGAACAGAGCCCATTTCATCAAACTGTTATATTTTAATAAATAAACAGGAGGAAATGGGGAGCCCTAAGTTGAAAGACCTTTTCTGACTTTGTCTTGATGGATGTGATGAGTAAAGGGCATCCAAACTCGTGTTGTTTCTCAGGAGGATTTTGTGAGGAAAATGGGTATCTCCTATAGGGAAAGTGTTCACTGTTATCCAGATACAAACCTGTTGACAGTGGAGTAGATGCAGTCCGGCGTGATTGTCATTCTCTTAGTGGCCGCCATGATCACTGTACACCTGAGACAGAGACACAGAGGAAACCATCTAAAGCAAATCGATTGATGTCTCGTAGCATTTCTTAGCTCCGCTGAATGTGGCATCCAGATTTTGGATATTTAGCATTTTTATGGGCATCCTGTCTGGCCTGGCTCCAACTTACAAGTGGTTTTCATTGAGACTGAGTATCTCTGCACACACTTGAAGGTTTTTGTTCACACTGTGCATCAACTTGAGATTAAGATCCTTGGTGAGACAAATTAGGCAGTGTGACCGTTCATTCACAGCTGGTAATGCACGGCATTCAGGGGCCAGCTGGGCAGACTCAAGGAAAAACATGACAGCCAGGGACTCATTGCAACTCCCTAGAGCAGCTCATCACACAAACCAACATTGAGATAGTCATTAGGGAGCTCTTGCATTATTGAATCACTTTTCTCTGCCTTTTCTTTCCTTCAGTACCCTCCTTATCCTGCTGCTTTGTCCTCACTGGAGACCAACCTTTGCTCTGCTCTTCTTGCCTCTCACACTTTCACATCTCTAAGGCCAATGCTTGAAAGTTCAGCGGCCTCTAAGATATTGCTTGGTAATTTCCCAGCTCTGAGGCTGCTGTCATCATTTGTTTAGTTGATATGTAGACCAAATGACAGTGTGCATGAGCCGAGGGACTACATGTAGCCCTCAGCGACGTAGGCTGATTAGCTGGGAAACAGATTCACATGGTTACTGATAAAACAACAAGCCATCCTGAGCTGAATAATTAATCAAAAGATGCATAAGCGGTTGCAGTTTTCATCATCCAATAAGTTGCTTTTACAAAAAATACATATGCTCCGATGGTTTCCCTAACAAGCTTTTTACTAAATAAAAATGTAACATCCTAATTTCTCCCCCGCTTATATTTATTTTTACAGTTATTAAGGTGATTTAGCAGAAAATATGTGACTTAAGTCAGGATGAAACCACATTATTCTTCAACACTGAGTGAAATTCTGAGCCTGTTGAAATCCCACTCATCACACACAAAATTAAATCTGCTCCTTACCTCCTTCTGTCGTACAGCTTCCATGTGTTCATTAGTAAAAAGGGAGCATGATGCAACCGATGCTGCTATAACAGTATCCATTGGTGTAACCTCCAAAGCACCAGCACGCTCCAGGTTGTTTAGTAGTCTGCAATAGGTTTTCTAACTTGATTTAATCCTTGAAGTGAGTCGTCAGATGTTTCATTGAAGGAGAACAGAAACTGTTCACTCCTCCCCTGGTCTCTTCTCCAATCTTTAACTTTCATTCACTCTTTCTGTACCCACACACACTGGATCTGACTTCCTCTCTCCCTCCCTCTCCCTCTCTCTCTCTTTCTGTCCCTTGCTTTTTTTATGTGTGTCTCTATCTGCCGGCCTTCTCTCACAGCTGACATTATGAGCAAACTATGTAGAATGAATGACTCTGAATACTGACGGAAACTAGTTACATATCATATTCTTGCCCACTAGCTGCAGGAAAACGACGATGACACATGGGGCACACGTCACTGTGTTACATTATTTCCCTCCAAATCTGAAGTTCCCTGGAATTTACATCACAACTGCTTTTGAGCCACAGTTGCCCACACAGCTGTAGCTTATCAGCACACCCTCAGTGCCTCAGGGTGCACGTATAGTCACTAACATGGAAATTAATTGGAAAGTTCCAATGGGATTTGCAAGCTGCAAGTGAAAAAAGAAATGGCAACTGCCTCTAAAATGTTACATCTTGAAAGAAACCAACTACCAGTCAGTGTTTTTGAAGTGTCCTGATATAAATGAATTCAAGAGGTGACCATTAAGTAACATCCTTATTGTCAGAAGGACTGTTCCATAAATCAGTACAGAAAGCATACAACAAAATCCATTTTTTACACTTGTGACTTTAAATGGGACAAATCAGGTTTTACATCTTGGGCTCTTCAAATATTAGGAGCCAATCTCCAACATGTTATTGCATTGTTGCTTTAAATTTCCTTACATGAAACAATCTTTTTTATTGGTCTGAGGCAACTACCATGGGCAGAGCAAAGATAACTTATTAATTCTCACAATACACTTTATTTTTATGAGTGCATACCTGATGCATTCAGGTACAATGGGACAAAAAAAAATCTGAATTTTTTTTCTGAATTGAGACCAGCATGTTTTAGGCTACCAGGTGCTATAAAATCATGACTTATGCTATTGTGTGCCAACCTGTTATAGTACAGACATTTTATATATTTTTTTGTCACTTAAAAAATATTAAAGATGACCCCATGTCAGCCACAACAGTCCAGAATTAGCCATCACTGTCAAACACACATCCATTGTAGACAATATGGCACCACGCATTAGGCAGTGAAATTGAACGATCTTTTAATAGAAAATTAATAGTTAGGTTGCATCAATGACTTAATGAATTAATGACTGAACCTATAAATTTATTTAACCAATTAAGAAACAAACAAACATGGCTGCTCCATTTTATTGTACCAGCTAGTCCATTTTACCTTAACATGTCATCACAGTGAAGGAGGGGTTCTTGATGTGTTTGAAGGTCCATAGTTTCTAAATTATTTTACTTAATAACATATTTTCTTTCTAGAAATATACCAGAGATCCATATCATGCTCTAAAAGTGTGACTAAAAGTAGTGTTCACAATTGTAGGTGTTTTTCTTGGTAATCTACCAAAAAAGTGTCCCAAATTACCTGATGTTTCTCCATATATTTACAGTTTTTGACAGGATTTGTAATCCTTATGTTTCTTTTTTAATATATTCATTTTTCTTGTAGCACAATCTTGCTTAAAGGTTATTTGTTGAAGTAATATGATGTATTGCTAATTTTATTTGATACCTTGTAATAATAGTAAGTTTAACCACAACAAAATTTAGAACAATGTCTAATCTTATAGAACCACCTCTTAATATGTAGTCTGCACACAGTTTAAACACATATATACTGAGCTAATTAACTGGATATCGTGGTTTTAAAAAACAAAGGCTTACCAGATTTCAAATGCTGGCGAAGTCTGGTGCTGAATCCCTGCTGCAGTGTGAGGCAGTGAACTGAAGTAATAGAAGTGTTTTTGGCGGGGCAGCTTATAAACCATGTACAATCTGCCTGCACATGATGATAGGCTGGCTCTCCCCCACAAGTGGCACAGTGACAGGTGAAAGCTGAACAGCTGCTGCCTCCTCAGTTTCTAACGCCTGTAATTCCACTCCTGTCCTGTCGGTGGCAGCAGAGCGCCGCTGTGCTCTGCGGGCAGCAGCAGCAGCGTCAGTGACACAGGACTCCAACGCAGCTGTAAACATAGATTGTTGCCACACCGAGAACAACCCAGCTAACGTCAGCACTAGCAGGAGAGGTAAGAAAATACTTTGTGAGTGTTTATTCAGAGTTTGACACTATAATCGGAAACTTTTTGTTCGTGGACGTTTAATGTGACTTTAACGTTTAACGAACCCGGAACTGGCTGAGGAGCTCGAGGCTGTGTCGCCCAGTAACGATAAAACTAGCTAACGCTGCCTTGTCACTCAGTGAGGCAGGGATGGACAGCAGTTGGAGCAGAAGTGGACAAAGCTCTCTTTAAGAATAGCAAAATACAACCTTTTCAGGGTCCTACTGCAAACAAAACACGAGAACTTCACCTACGAACAAGCTAAATGGTCTCTTTATGACCATAAAGTCATAAAAACAGTGATGACACCAGAGGCACAAACTGGAGCCATCTGTTTTGAGATGTAAAGAAAATTGATGGCGTCCTGTGAACAGGTCTTCCTGCTTACATTTTCATTTTACTTTGGTGTGCTGTACAGGGTGTACAGTGTCACAGTCCCACCTGTCAGTTCCTGTACCTGCAGGAATCTGAAAATTGCCACCAGGCAGAACCACATGGTCATAAATTTTGCAGGTGAACATTTACCTGCCTTACAGGCCTATTTGATCAGATAAGATGTTGTGTTTTGCTAAATAATTGGGAAATACTGAGTGACAGGGTGTGGAGGAATGCAGCTATGTATATCTAGTCAGGTACTGCACCCAAGTACACATTTGAGGCACTTTTACTTATCCTTTTATGGCACTTTCTTTTTAGTTTATAAATTACTAATATGACAAATACATATTAAACTTTAGGTCGCCTACTAGAATAACATAACCGATAGCTTTTTCAGTCCACTAGATACATTTTGCTGCTGCAAAAAAATGGCTGAAGTGAGGTGAACAGACTGAAATCTTATCAGATAAAACAGGTAATTACAAAGTTTTTCTTTGGGGACATAATTTACTGTTGATAAAAGGTAATAAATTGCTATATATTTTACTGCAATATACAGAATATCGCAGCATATGATAATATCGTATCGTGGATCCTGTGGTGATTCCCAGCCCTCGTCATTTTTAAAGAAAAAAATAGTCAAAATTTTCTGAATCCGACCTCTTAAATTTGACTCTTTTTGATTTCTGTACTCCTCTATGACATTAAACTGCACATTTTTGGGTTGTGGGAAAAAACAAGACATCTGAGGGTGTCATTTTGGGCTTTGATCGACATTTTTCTCTATTTTCTGACATATTATAGACCAAACGGATTGATTAATTGAGAAAATTATCAATACAGTAAGCGACAGTGAAAATAATCATTAGTTGCAGCCCTATTTTTCAACCAAAAACATTTCATGATTTCAGAGTTTGCTGCTTTTCCTTTAAAGTATTTAAATAATTTTGATCATATTGAATTTTGTATACTCGATTGGACAAAACATTGTGAAAGTGCCACTTGTGACAGCATTTCTCACTATTTTCAGTATTTTTACAAACCAAACAACCAGGCAAATTAAGGAAAAAAAATATAACAGTCACAGGGGCTACTTTCTGCATTTAATACTTTAACTTTTAATACCTTCAGTGCACTCCCTGATGATACCTCAATACTTTTAATTAAGTAACATTTGCCTTGTAGGATCTGTCAAGCTGAAGTGGATTTATTCCCACATATAGACAGGACACGTTCTCTACACAGGGGAGCTTCACGCTCTCCCTGGCCAGCAGCCTAGATAAGGGGCAGGATTTCATAGGAGGAGTGACAGTCATGTGAAAAAACATCAGCTGATTATGAAATGATCTATCAAGGAAATGAAAGTGAGGCCATTGACTTTCATATCAATTTTTCCCAGATGAATGGTTCTCAACATTTTGGTCTCTGGCCCACAAAATAAAGCCATAAACAATCCACATTAAATGAGTTTCATTGCCATTATCATAAAAAGAATCTGTGTTTTCACTATCAGTAACATTCTTTCATGCCGCAGCAATTTCTGAGCTTGTGTTTACTTTTCAAATAAAAGAGTCAGATGAGTTTCACACTGTGAGGCATACAGATTTTAAATTTAGGGGAAAAGACAGCCCTGGTATTGGATCAATACTCAGTATCAGCAGATCCTCCCAAGCTGAATCAGACTCATATTGGGACTGAAGAAAGGGATAGAGTCCTGTGTACACGACATGAAGGGATGCATGGTTTTAGCTGCACAGGCTGGTGGGGGAGGTGTAATGGTTTCAGAGGCAGTCAGTGCACACTGGGCCCATTGATACCTGTGGGTTCCAGTACACACCCTGGCATTCAGCCCAGGTGCATCTATTCATACTTGTCTTTTACCCCCAAGGGACGGATACTTTCTACAAACAAATATTGCCTGTTTTGGTGCAATATTCAGCCAGGACTGGTAAAATAATGCTCTCACCTGGTCACCACATTCTTGGGAGAACTTAAACAGGTTCACACTAAAACTTTGGGAACACTGCATGGTCAGCTTTAAACCTGGGATGTGTGGTGGGTGTAGTTGGGGCCAAAGGTGGCATAACATCAGTTTCTATTTATGTGTATGCCCTTTAATTTTCTCTCATATATGAACAATATAGTTTTGTGTCCTCAATTAGTCATTCAAGGACCAATATATATTTCTGCTCTTCGTATTTAGTATTAGCTGTTGTCCTGTGCATTAGTAGAGTTGAGCATTTTAACATTGGTTTCCAATCCCTTCTTTTTTTGTCATTACCCCAGTGATGTGCTTGTCGTAGTGGAACACTATAGCTGGACTCCCTCCCTGTCCTATTGCTGTTGCCCCCTGAGGACCTCATCCACCACCACCACCACCTCCTTTCTCGTCCTCCACCTCCTCCTCCTACCTCCAGCCGCCCCTGTGATGCCTCCCTCGTGCTGTGGCTGCTTGTCACAGTACACTCATCATCATCTGGTTGCCTTCCTCCTCACCTTCTTTAGGTAATATAGGTCATCTTAAAGGAATACTTCAAGTCAGAAAATGACTGCCAATCAATTGGACACCCCTTGTTACGTTGCATTTGTGAAGAAATTTTGTTTTTCTCGCATGACTCCAATTGGAGTAAAAGGGGGCCATTAAACAAAAGCAAAACTATATCATAACACCAGTTAACAAACTGTCACACATCTCAGTCAGTAATATCTGAGTCTCATTTAGTTGTCGTTTGCTCTGTACTTTCATCAACAATGTTCGCTGTTTTTGGATTCTTCGGTTCACTGTTGAGGCATTTGATAAAAACAAGTTTTCTTCACAAATTCAAGGTAACAGGGTGAGTAACTGATATACAAATGGTTAATTTGTGGGTGACGTATTCCTTTAAAGTTCTTCCTCAAACCTGCTACCGCTGTAAATGTTCCCAGATGGGGTAAAGTAACAGTGGGACTTTATATGGCTTTTGTATTTTGCTTTTTAGATTATCTTTATTTACTTGTTGCTTTAAAGTATATCCAGTGGAAAGAGTTACAGGAGTTACAGCAGTTTTAAAGTAACTAATCATTCATAGCCCACTGAGATAAAAGAACAAACCACAAGAAAATAGTGGAGCCAGTAATCAGGAACACACCAGTAATCAGGAACACACCATGAATGAGTGTGAGGTGTAAATGTAGGTGAAAGGTGTATCGTGCAAGGTTAACCCAGGCCAGACGAGGTCAAGATAACACAGACAAAAAGTAGTGATTTCCAATAGACAGGGTTGTCACACTATCTTTAGAGGTAGTAAAAATGAAATGTAATGTTTGCTTATTGTGAAAATAAAATCAAAAAAGGAAATAATCTTGCAATAATCTTATTTAACAGCATGTTTGCATCAGTATTTTCTCTTTACAGAGCTCATTTTCTAAATGTATAAACGCCTGTAAATGAAGAATGTATAGCAGCACTAATTAGAGCAGTATTTAAATCATATTCTTCACATATGTTCAGTCACTGCTGTTAATCTGTAATTACAGCAGATGTGGTATCACACTCCTATCAGGAGCAAAGCAAAATGCCGTCTGCATCAGATAGTAGCACACAATGATTACTGCTGTTCACCAGATAAATTTGGGCTCACACTGGATTTCAGACATTTCCTGTTTCATGCATAAAGGTGTTGCAATACAGTGTTTACTGTGAATTTATTCAGCAGAACTGAACTGCTACTACTTTGGAATTTAACCTTTTGGGTGCCTTATGTAACCAAATGTAGCCTAAGACAACCAAGGGCCGTTTCATAGTTGACACATGCGACACGGGCAAGCGAGACAAGCGGCGAAGAGCAACGCACTTCCTTCCATAGTCAACACACTGAAAGCAAGTGACGCGGGCGACACTTGAAATGCAATACATCGCTCGCGCAATAGGGGGTAGAAGAGTCACCGGTACATTCCGGCTAGCTAGTGCTGCTGTAGCTAGCTAGTACTGCTATTTTATTAGAGTGCAGGGCACTAGAACTGTCATATAAATGGGGGAGTGCCTGTACGAGTTCGCAAAGTTTTTCCTCCTGCCCACCATACCTGTTTCTTCTGTGAATAACAAAAAGTGGTTAATTTCAAGTACATCGCTTGCATTATCTCCCCTGCTGGCAACGCATGGTATTACACGCATCGAGAGACGCAAGCACGCATCATGGCAGCCAATGCATCCAGTGCGTTCGCATCTGCGTATCTTTGTGTCGACTATGAAACGGTCCTAACAGTAGGTAATATTGTATATTATGATATTATCATGTAAATAATGGCCATTTTTCCAACCATTAGCGCTTAAACTGATGCTGAACAGAACGAGAATTATTTTGCCAGTGTATTAAACAAGTGTTCAGCATCGCCTCCGGCTGAAGTGTGACCTTTGACTTATTCACACAATGTGGATGGTTTAGATAAATCCCTCTCAAGTCCCTTTACTTGCTGAGTAAAACTGTACTCTGTCTCTCCAGCTATGTGTTGCTACATGCGTCCAGGAAAACATTCAGCAACGTGAAAGTCAGTATCTCAGCCCAGTGGACGCCATCTGTCCAGAATGCCAGCGCGCCAGCTTACTCTCCTGGCGAGGTACTGAGCAGAAGAACTTTTACATCCCTGTTGTAGAGCAAACAGCATGTAATTAACTGTGTTTTTGGCTGTCCCAGACATGGGAGGACAATCATCTGTTCGCAGATGAACAGCAGGCCACTCTGTTCCTGGGAGCTCTGGACTCCATCTTCCTCTTCTCATATGCAGTGGTGAGTGGCGAACATGATTTTTTATTTGTTTAAGAAGCTTTTCAAAGTAGTGATGTCTGCAACAGAAAATGTCTCTGTGTGACTTTGTGTGTCTTGGTGCTGTCCATACAGGGTCTGTATCTCAGCGGTGTGATCGGGGACAGGGTGAACCTGCGCTATGTGCTCTGCATCGGCCTGTGTGGCTCTGCTGCAGTGGTGAGTACACAGATGGAACTTGTGTTTGGCTGTGTGTGTGATCTTGATAGGGTTCTTTTTTTTTAATTGAATATTCCTTATGGAAACCCAATTTTTCCTTGGTAACGTTACTTACTATTTTTGAAATACTGAGTCATTATTTCCACAGTTTCTCAATATAATGACCTAAAGGATCTGTTTTTGTCTCATCACTTATATATGCGCATAATATTTTCAGAATACAACTGTGGCTGTCTGTGTGTTTGCAGGAGTTCGTGTTTGGCACTCTCACCGAATGGCTCCATTTCTACAACGTCTATCTGTACTGTAGCCTGTGGGTGCTGAACGGCCTGCTGCAGTCAGCCGTCTGGCCCTGTGTGGTGGCCGTCATGGGCAACTGGTTCGGCAAGGCGGGGTGCGTGACATTTCTCTGTTTGCAAAACCGGCATTTATCTGATGTTTCTGAAAGCATTACAGCTGCAACATCTATCCAGCTTTAAAATATTTAGTCAAGTTGGTGTCTGTAAAGTGAAGCTTTATGATACACACCCACACACGGAAACACACACGCTCACACTCGCACAATGACATCCATTCACTGGAGCTGCTGCCAAAACATAGACGCCATTAAGACTCAGTTTTCCTCAGCAACAGGACGTAATTTTTTTTTAATCTGAAAATGGAACAGACTGAATGAAATACTTTTATATTTCTAACTTTCTCTAATTGACCCTCATGATGATGTTTTCCAGCCGTGGCTTCGTGTTTGGCCTGTGGAGTGCTTGTGCCTCTGTGGGCAACATCCTGGGGGCCTTTCTTGCTTCTAGCGTGCTCAAGTATGGATATGAGGTAAGACACGCACACACACACACACACACACACACACATACATTTATTGATACCTTTTACTGTAATTTTCTCAGCAGCTAAACTGTGACATGATGTACTGTATGTTGCTGTGTGCAGTATGCCTTCCTGGTGACCTCAGTGGTGCAGTTTGCTGGCGGGGTGGTGGTGTTCTTTGGCCTACTAACCTCCCCAAAAGAAGTCGGTAAGGACCACAGCGAACATGTCAGAAAAATGTGCCGTTTGTGTACTTACAGTGTATTTAGGTTACCCTAAAAATGCTGCTCGGTTGACAGTATTCCACCTAACCTCATAAGAGGAAATCTTATGAAATCTTGTATGTGTTAGACTCTATGTTGAATTTAAACTGACCTCATTCTCACAGAAGCCATCTTGAACTAGAAATAGAGGCAGTTAGTGTCCTGATTGCCTAAATTGATTGAATTTGAGCTTGACTGTGTGTTTGTTTGTGGCAGGTTTGAGCTTGGAGTCAGAGACTGGATTGAGTCCAGTGGAGACAGACACAGACAGCCACAGGCCTCTGATGAGCGACGAGGAGGATGAGGTGGAGGTGGAGGTGTATGGCAGACCATTCCACTCCGTTCAGCAGCCGGATGAACCTCTGGCCGAGACTCCTCAAGCCATCGGCTTCTGCCAGGCTTTCTGCCTGCCTGGAGTGCTACCTGTGAGTCCACTCCTCCAACAAGTCAACACAAAGGCACTCTTAAACAAACAGAGATTAAACAATACAAATACATTTCTACTCTGTTTGTTCTGCAGTATTCCCTGGCTTATGCGTGTCTGAAGCTGGTCAACTACTCCTTCTTCTTCTGGCTTCCTTACTACCTGAGCAACAACTACAAGTGGAAGGAGGCGGAGGCCGACCGCCTGTCTGTGTGGTACGATGTCGGAGGAATCATCGGTGAGTGGCAGGCAGATTTCTGCATTTTCTTCCATCTTTTATCTAATCATAGTCTCCTTGAAATTTAAGTCATTGAAAAATTATCACTTTTTTAAAGGAATTTAGTACTGGACAGTAAAAAATAAGATGCAATAAAGACATTGGATTTCTTTGGATATGATGTGTGTGTGTGTGTGTGTGTGTGTGTGTGTCAAAGCTTTGATATTACTTTTTTTTTTTTTTCAAACACACATATGTGCATTTATCTCACCCAAAATTATTAATTAATATAATATAAAACATATGTAGTACCTTAAAGTGCATTTTGTTGTCTTTTTTTCCAATTTTGTTTATTGAAATTTTTAGGACATTCATGAATCAGTAGTACAGTGACTAAGATTTAATGCCTGTTTCTGAAGAAGTAAATATACACAGGTAAATGCATCTATACTGTACATGGAGATATAGGGAGATAGTGATAGTTATAATAAAAAAATAAGTAAAAAAAAAAAAAAGGTGAAGAAGAGGAAATAAATTGAAATAGAAACATACAAACTAGAAATAGAAAGAAAAAGAAACAGAAAGAAAAGGTAATAGGGAAGAAATAGAAAGACAGAAACCGACAGAAATAGAAAAAAATAAAATTGAAATAAAATAAAAACAAATAAATAAAAAAATAATAAAATAAAGAGTAGTAATACGTATTCCAAAAGTCTATGTGGGAAAAAAAGATAAAATAAAATAACAATTTACAGTGAAAAAAATAATGATAAAGGATAAAAGAGAAAATTAATAATACCATCCCTTCTCTAAAAAGTAAGGTATAGTTGTTAAATGTACACCCTGAATTAATATTCCGACAACAAAATAAAGAACAACTCACAAAGACTGGTCATCCATCAGAGACAATGTATGAATGCATATTTATATTTATACCCCACTTATACAAGAGAAAACAAGAGAGACAGTATAATAGGCAGATTGCACAGGTCTAAAGCATGTCAGAGTGCCGTAACATGGTTGAAGATGGAATATTGGGGAACTGAAATGTGTCTCTTACCCCTATGTTTTTGTTGTTTTTGTTATCTTAAAGTGCATTTTGGGTTCATTATATAGGTAATATTCTGTTAACACTGGCTTGTATGTTACAGTGCTTTTTAGCTTTATTCATAATTGCATAAGTCAACTTAAACATTTTACGTAAACTTCCTCAGAGTTTGGATGTTAACGGTCTGTTTGTTTGTATCAGGAGGGACAGTTCAGGGTTTGATCTCTGACTTCATGGGAAAGAGAGCTCCAGTGTTGGCCATGAGTCTGCTTCTGGCGATGGGAGCCCTAGTGGGATACAGCCGTGAGTATAGAGTTTACGATTAAATTATCAATCCATCAACAAAAAAATCAATCAGCAACAATCGACCAAAACATAATATAAGGTTGATGGCGGCATTACCACAGTATCACAGCTCTACTCTCTGTCTCTCTTCTTCCATCCTCCTCAGACTCACCCAATGACCAGGTGATCAACGCCGTGCTGTTGGCCACCACCGGCTTCTTCATCGGTGGCCCATCGAATATGATCAGCTCTGCCATATCTGCTGACCTGGGGAGACAGGAGGCGCTGAGGGGCAGTCAGGAGGCTTTGGCTACTGTCACTGGCATAGTCGACGGAACAGGAAGTATAGGAGCTGCTGCAGGACAGGTAATTTCACAAAGAAAAAAAGATTAAATGAAAACAAAAGATATAAAAGTGTGTGAGTTTTAGCTTTGGATGTTAGCTTTACTTTGACACTGTCAGAGTATGCAGCTATGTACTATACCTGCAGTTACACCCACAGATCGACATCTGACTTGTGCATTTGTATCTCTTTCATCTTCCAGTACCTGGTCTCCCTGTTAGAGAGCAAGCTGGGCTGGATGTGCGTGTTCTACTTCTTCGTTGTCATGGTAAGATGAATTCCTGGAAGTCCAATAGGCCTTTTTTAACAAAGACATTTTGACATGTCACACTGGAGAACACACAGGTGCAGATAATAAGAGCTGTGAACAAACGGAGTCATTGTTAATGTTCTTAGTAGCACCTGTGCTTTACCTACTGTAAGTCAAAATGCCTGCTGCTATAAAGGCCTGTCTTACAGGTGTTTGTTTATACACTACGTTTACATAAATATGACTTTCTCAGTGATAACCCTATATCTTGATGTTTTTTATGTGACTCCATCTTTTTCATCATCACGTTTGTTCACTGGTAAAAAAAAAAAAAATGAGTGTATCCTCACCTACAGCAACACCAGAGCATGTGTATAGAATATTGGAAGTAGCCACTATGGCGTCACCCATTGTTTTGTTTACTTGCCTTGAGTTTGTCATTTTGGCCGTCGCCATCTTGGATTTTTTTTTGTAGCCAGAAGTGACCATATTTGGACAAGAGGGTGGAACTAATGCCAATGCTAGCTGCTAGCTTGCTAACGTTTGCTAACTTTTGATCGCGAAAAACAGGCTTAAAACCATTAAACAATATGTACTCAGTGGACAAACTTAACATCTGACTCCCTAGAGGGTCTATTAATACAAACGAATGCTGAACAAGACTTTTTTTGATTGACCAAAATGTTACAGTTAACTTTGATGAACGAAGACACTGAGATATCGACAGCTACAGCTAAACCTATACTCTAAATCTATAGAACTAGAAGTATTTAAAGTGCAGCAAAGTGCTTATTGGATGGCAGAACTGCAGTACCAGACATGATTTGATATTTGTTTTATTCAGAGTGCTGATGGCTGTGGGAAAGAAACTCTCAGTCTGGTGGTTCATGTTCTGGCAGCTCGGTAGCGTCTGCCAGATGGCAACAGTTCAAAGAGTTGGTGAGCAGTGTGAGAGGTCTTTGATGATGTTTTTGCTCTGTCGACGTAGCATGAAGTGGCAAGTTCTTCCAGGGGGAGTAGGGGACAGCCGGTAATGTTTTCTACAGACTTGATGACTCTTTGCACAGCCTTTTTAGATGCAGCAGCGCAGCTTACATACCACACGGTGATGCAGTATGTGAGGATGGTTGCCCGGTAGAACGCCACCAGCAGCTTCCTCTCCATGTAGTTCCTCCTGAGCTCTCTGAGGAAGTAAAGTCTCTGCTGTGCGCTGTATAGTGTCACTGTGGTGTTGGGTGACCAGGAGAGATCTTCAGAAACATGGACTCCCAGGGGTTTAAAAGGCCACACTCTTTCCGCACATACTCCGTTGATGCAGGAGGGGCAGTCCTTATTTGCACATGGAAGGGCAGAGAGGTATGCTCTCTCCGCCTTTCCACATAGGCGCGTGGAAGTGGCTTTCTGTGTAGGCCTGAGGAAAGGCAGAGGGGCCCCAGTACAGAGCCATGCCGTCAAATATAACACTGCAAATGGAAATAAAGTTCTCTTTGATTAAAGTGTTCCTGACTGAACTGCAGCCCCAGAGGTTGCTGTTTGCAGTAAATTAACAAATCACTTCAAATCTTGTATTTTTCTTTGGTACAGACAGGGGGCAGCATCTTATTCATCACTCCTTTGATCGTCAAGGAGGTGCGTGCCATGTGGAGAGACAGACAAGCGCTGCGTCGCCAGCTGTGAACGCCTCAACATCTGCCAGCCAATGTTCCCTAATCTTATCAGTGATAACAGAGCTGCTCACAAACTCCTTTTAGGTGAGTTTAGGGAGGTAGATGAATTTGTAGGATGCTGTTTCTCACAGCCACGATGGTTACGGTGACCTGGATTTAGAGAGTTTAACTCCCACAATGACCACTGTTTGTCTGTTAACACCCATGTGAGCAGGTAGAGAGACTTTGAGCACAAAACTGACGTCTTATCCACTCACTAAAAGCCTAAAAAATGTAATTACACACTTCTTCAGTGTGAGGATTTAGCAGTTGAGCTGAAGTGCCTGATTGAAAAAGGCTTTTAAAGGGATCTAGCTGTCTAATCTGTGGATTCAGGCCTCGCAGGGCCATCACAGAATGTACCACTGTATATATTTTAGGATTTAAATGGATGTAAAAAATTAACTTTTTAAAATATAGATGCTCTAGACTAGAGTCAAGTTGAATACATTTTTGGCCTTTTAAATCAGGAGTTCTTAACTTAAAGGTCAGCCTCTGAGACATGTTGGGGGTCGGGATTGTCTGAAGAATGTGAATGATAACTGTAATGTAGAAATTTATTGTTAGCTTTTGTATATATGTATGATATGTTTGTTGTTTTTTTGGTTGAGATGATGAATCTTGCACTGTAGTACAGTAATGAAACTGAAGATTTTAGTGAAACACTTTTGGGAAATTTCTCGCAGCCTCTTGATTTCTCTTGTGTACAGTTTTGTGTAATCAGGGTTAGAAACTCTAATACGGTATACGGGGACTGGTTCTCTCGATTCTGTGTATGTGTCGTCAGTATCTCCTCATTCCTTTTTCAAGTTTTAGTGTCTTAAGTCACAAGCAATCGCTGCCAAAACCCTCACGCAAACACGCACTGACAGAAACATGAAACATCTATCGTCTCGTCTCACACTTTCAGTTTACAGTGCAGCATGACTAATGCACATTGAAGTCTAAGCTGCATACTGACGTTACAGAAGAACAAGTTTTGCCCGTTTGTAAGTGGAAGCTGCATATTTGCACGATTTGTTTGAGGAACTTGAATCTGTGTCTGAACAGATTTGTTTTCACGTTTTAAAGCCAGTGACGGTAAATAATCATCTTTTACGACATAATTACTGATGATCATGGTGGGAAATGATCATACGACACCAGCCATATGCCTGTTAATGTTTGGGCAGGTTGTCTGCTTTACCTTTACTAGACACTGTGGTCAGTAAACAGCCATAATTTCTGTGGAAGATGGTTTTTAGTTGAAATCAATAAAAAGAACCCAGAATTTGTGATTTTCCGGTCACTGTTGCCAACAGACACAGCAGGTCGTGTGCTCCGTTACATGTAGATCATGTAAAGTGCTTTAAACATCTGGGAAAGTGACATCAGAGCATCTTTGTATCATCATCACTGGTACGAGACATGCTCCCTAAGCTAAACCTCAAGCACTGGAGCTTCAGACGAGACCTGCACCTCTGATGTCTCTGAACTTGCCAACTGTAAAGGAATGTAAATTGACATGTATGTGGAATGTGTAACACTATCTGTGGTCTACTTTTTTTTTATTTATGTGTACTTTTTAAGTTTTGACTAATGTAAATGCAAATTTTCATTTGAAATAAATGCAAATTACATTTTGCAAATTGTGTTACTGACAGAATAATTCACATAAGTTATGACAGAGGTAGACTTTTTTTTATCTTTACTATTTTGGTCTCGTAACTAGTGTATCCTTACTGAACTTTATTTTAGAGCTTCTAAGTTGCATCAACAGGGAAGTGTTTTTTAACCTGTACCCTCTTTTCCTATGGCCTTGTGACTGCAAGAAAACAACAGTAGAAATGTTTGTAAGAGTTAGAGTAAGACGTGGCATGAAGAGATTGTTTTGTTGGAGGACAGACAGCATAGCATAGTGTAATCTGTAACACTAAGTACAGTAACCACAATTTAATGTTCACAACCAGTAACAACCAGACTATCACTGGTTTCCCAGGTCAGGGTCACTCACTGGGCCCAGGTTTAGAACCATAGAGTGTTAAATATCTGGCAGAATATACAAATATATAAGACTGAAGCATTTTCAAGGAGCAAAAGCAAAACCAGTGCCTAATAGAGTAACAGTAGTAGTAAGGTAAGTACAAGAGTTACTAATGATGAACTAAAATGGTGGAAAAAACAGACTGCACCTGATAATAAATGTTATATTGAATATGATATAACAGTAAGAAGCAGTATTGCACATGATTGAGAAAATGATATTGACAAGTGATCATGATAATCAAGTAACGATGTGCAACATATAAGTTAATTGTGCACCTAATGTAGGTAAATATTGCCGTCAGTGACCTTTGTTTCAGCTCTCCTCCCTACAGAAGGGGGAGGAGTTATACAGTTTGATGGACACGGGTAGAAAGATCTCCTGAAGCATTCTGTGGTGCTCCTCGGTGGTTTCAATCTACAGCGGCTCTGATATGATTCCAGAGTGGCATGCAGGGGGTGAGAGGCATTGTCCAGAATACATCCTCCTCTCTGACACCTCCACTAAAGCCTCCAGTTCCACTCCCAGGACAGAACCAGCTTTCCTGGTGAGCTCATTGAGTCTGTTAGCATCTGCTGCCTTCACCCTGCTGCTCCAGCACACTATAGCTTAGATGATAAAACATCTGCATGCTATGATATAGTGCATAATGCATATCGTAAAGTCCACGATATTTCAGAGCAAGACTTCTCCTTCAGTGAGAAAAACATGTAATATCTATTTAGAGTCCTGTCTTGTGATAACAAACTGAGCCTGTCAGTGGCAAAAACAAGCACTTTTAGTGGGAGAAAATTGTTTTGTCGCTGCCGACTGCAGACCTTTTGCTCAATATTTGACCAATTTCGGAAAAATGTTGTCTCCATTAGTCACTTAGACAAAGAAAAAAAGAGTCCAGGCTGAAAAATACTGTTTCCCTGTCAGCCACATCATTGTCAATGATTGACTGTATGTGCAGTTTTGCATTAAAAACACCAGGGGGTGCTGTTAATCAAGAAGACACTTTAAAGGGGAACTGCATCCATTTTCAAAATTCATACTAGTTATTTGCATGGTGTAAGACAGTCTAAAAATATAAGTAAACACAAACAACTCTCTCCCAAATCCAAAAACTAGAGTGTGAAAACTAAATTTTTTGTCATAGGGTATAAAGTCTGGGGCAGCTCCAGACTTTATACTTATACATGACAAGTGTGAGACTTCCTTCTCTGGTTTCTGGCTTTCATAGAGAGTAGCTCATGTTCACAAATATTGATTTAACTTATCTAGGCGATGGAAATAACATTTTAGGTGTTCTCTTCGAAGTTTGAGTCTTCCTCTGCTTCTCTTAGTACATCCATGCTTAGCACACTTGAAAACACAAGTAGAAACAAATACTCCAGACCAATATTTTGTAGTTCGTATCAGTCTCATTCATTCATTTTATTATTTTGAGCACGCTATATGAAATCAACAATACAAAAGGCAACAGTGCACCAACAACCAAACAATATATTTTCCTTACAAACATCATCAAAAAGGATGATTCTGATCCCATACAAATACACTTCTTACATGTTGCAAAGGTACACACAACAGCATTTAAATTACCATGAAATTATTACAAATGGTGTACAAAGATTATCATACATTCATGCATATACAAAGTTTAACACAAAAAAAAAACGCTACACTTTGATATAGCTGCGAGAGCTGAGTAAGGAAAGCCAAGTTTGCTTGGGCACAGTGAGACACTAACAGATCTGTCTTGACTTTTATCATTTTAGTTTTCCTTGATTTACTTTTTCCACCTAACAGACTCGAGCAAGACTAACAAGGCTACAAAAAAATCCTAATTAACAAATGTTAGAAACTGTTTAACAGCGTGTCTGATCTGAGGAAAAAATAAATACATGTCAAGAAATGTCCTGATCCGTGCCTCGGTTTCTCAGTGAGTATTTGTATGTTTGTTTTTTTTTAAGATTACCATAAAAAAAATAGTTCTCTTGTCAACAATGTTTTAAGTAGTGCAAAGATATAGTTTCAGAAATAACACAATTAGTTAGTTATACCATAGGAAATAGGGACTTTATAATTATCTCCCTATAAAACAAATGATACAAACTCAAAATAAGTTATTATAGACTTTAAAAGTTTTGAGAAGATAGGTGCACACACACAATGTCTCACACACACTCACACACGTAGATAAGTTGACAAAACAAACAAGTAATTCTGACTTATTTAAAACAATTTCAAATAGCCGTGTTTGCTGTTTTGAGATCTGTGAAGTATCGCCTTGTTGAGCCACGATAGAGTTAACATGATTATGAACGACTGCTTTCATGCCGATTTCTCGCCGAGACTGAGGCGCTTGGTTCATGAAAGAGAGACTGAGAGGCTTTAAAGGGGGGCAGACAAAAGCGTGTCTGAATCACAGGCCACTTGTCTGGCTGGAGAGATCCTTTGATCCACGAGGGGTCTGGGACGTTTTCTCGCAAAGGTTCCCTTATTAAACTCTGTCCCTTTTTTCCTCGTCCTTCCCCCCACCGCTATCCCTCGGCTCTGTCTATTTCTGGGGGAAGCTGTCAAAGCCAAGTGAACATAAGCTGCCCCCCCCCCACCCCGAGGGAGCGGAGTTTCCTCTGCTCGGAGCTGGGGCCCCGCTCTGACACACTGACTCTTTTACCTGATGTGAAACTCTACACGGAGCGCTGAACCTCGACAGCTTTTACCACAACAAAATAATAAGAACCCACCCCCCCGTTCTGTCTCTCCATCTCTCTTTCACCTGTAGATGCAAACAACCTGAGCTACGCTGGTTTTTATTTGTATGTTTACTGAATTACTTTATGAGGTAGTAAGAGTGGATTAATCCTATGGCTTTTTATCCATGTACAAATTAGAATGACTGTACGTAGGGAAAAAAGTAGGCACATCCTGTTTGAGTTACCAGGGGCGGAGCCAGGCGGTGTAAACACTCTGGGCTCAGTGTAAACCTAGGGCAAGGTCAGTAATTTTTTTCCTATCATTTGTGGCAGCTTTATACATTTTTTTTCAAGCCATCTGAGATAACAGAACGCCTAAAAAATGCCCGATGTTTGGGGAAAAATTTGGATTTAACAGCACTACCAATCTTGAACCCTGTTTTTGTGATGCTATGCTGGAGTAAGGTTCAGAAAATCAATGTTTGGCTGGGTTACATTAGAGTTTTTAGCCCAGATTTGAGGCTTTTGGGTAAATTTTGGGGCTGGAGCCCCAGAAACACCCCCTTGCTCCGCCCCTGTGAGTCACCAAAACTGTCAGTTGAGCAGTTGTGGTGTGTTTACACTACATATTTGAAGCTCTAGACGTGTTTGGGACTTTCTGTGACCCCGTGACTGATCACTCAAACAGCGAGCGACTTGTACAAAGGATGTGTTTCTAATTTAATGGCACCGCAATTTCTCTTTGGTTCAACTGCCTCAGCTGCCACAACTCGTAAAAAAAAACAAAAAACCTCAAGATAAACACCAAACCAGCACATTCATACACAAACACTTATATGCATATGTACACAAACACTTATAGCACAGCACAGGAACAGAGAAAAAGTGAAGCAGCTCTGACTCTTCATATTAAAAAAAAAAAAAAAACATTGGCAAAAGTGGAACCAAAAGTTTGGATTCCTCCGAGCTGCGACACAGTGATAAAACACTACACTCTCTTCATGGAGGACAGAGGTGTATTGAACACCTACATGACGTCACATGAAGGCAAAGAGTGGGAAATGCTACATTATTACAAGCATGAAGCTGACAAAACATACAACTAAATAAGGTATGTTCTGGTCTGTTGCCAAAAAAATATACAGATTTTTACAGCCCAAATAATACAAGCAAAAAGGGAATATGATTTGTAGTTTGTATGTTTTTTGTTTAAATGGCTGATATTTTTAAGTTGCAACAGTGGAGTGAAGGTGAGCCATAATGACTTTATGTCTCAGGCAGAATTTGGGGGCAATGGCACAGGTTTCCACAAACACCTTATATTACCTCGTTTTACACATTGCATTGCTTTTCAATTTTTTTTTTTTTTTGTTTTTGACGATAACCTAGCATCGTGAATAATAAATAAATAGTCACATAGGAATTTAAGTCACTGTTGTACAGGTCAGCCGCATTACCTCATCGCTGAGCCTCCACCGTTGACCTTTGCCCTGGAGCTAATCACTGTTGCGCTGCCAATTTTTGAGCAGCACGAGGTTTTGACCTCAGGCTTGACTCGTGCTATCAGGGCCCTGGGGTGAGACTAAAGGCTAAGTGTGTTGCGAGGCCAGGAATAGTAAGTCATCTAATCAAAACCTCTTATGACTTTTAGCAAGAGGGAGAAAAAAGGTCGAGGTCAAATACTATCCGAGGCCCGTTCAGAGGAAAATTAACATCTTACAACTAGAGCCTGTTTTCTGTTGAGAGTGCATTCAACATCATTTCACAGTATAGTCAAAAGCTGAGGAAAACAGTATGTAGAATAACAATATCATATATATAATTATCAACAAAAACCGTTCCTAAAGTCTGAGCTTGATTAGCTAGGAAAATGGTAGCTTCCTTGTGCTGAACATTTAAGGTATATGGTGTCAGAGGAGTT